GCGAAATTTGACCCTCAGGGCTTAAGATCAACAGAGAAGCATCATCTCCCAGTCAGACCCTGTAATTCAGTGAAAGGGTGGAGTCAGAGTAAAAAAAAAATGCACGCCCAGGAGAAGGCCAGTGGCTGGAAGTTGGAGGGGATTTTGCTGGGAGTTGCAGGGAAGTGGGCTGCCATTCTGCTGGTGTTTGTCTGGGAATGGTCATTTTGAATGGCTGCTACTCTACTAGGATTGAACAACACAACATGAATATGTTGGCATTGCATCATCAGCGTTTGAAATATTTATGTAACAAAGGACTGTTTAGAGAAACTGATGGTGAGCAAATGCAAATAGTTACGAACTTACATCAGACGGAGTTTCAAACAGGAGCTGCTCACAGCCAAGACAAACGTTTAAGGTCAGAGTCATGGATGCCCAGATGAGAAACAGAAAAAAAAAGAAAAACACACATAATGCAAACCTAAAATCTTCTAATATCATGCAGCCGTAATGATTATGTCTCCAAAAATCAGAAGGCTGGAGAGGGTGCAACAATTACCACAACTGCCCCCCAATGCAAGCAGATATGGTCATCATACCTGAGCTCAGGGGAAGAGAACTAGACTACTGTATGATGGTCCAAGTTCATCTTCAGATGAAAGGAAAGGTTGCATTTTATTTTTAATCAAGGTTCCAAAGTCTGGAGGAAAAGTGGAGAGGACCGTAATAGAGGCTGCTGAAGTTCGTCGTTAAAGTCTGATAATAAAAATAATAATAATAGTTTAAATTCTGAATATGAGCAAACTTTTCCTTTAACCCCTCCCCTTGGGCAGCAGTGGGCTGCCATTATGCGGTGCCCAGGGAGCAGTGTGGGGTTAAGGGTCTTTGCTCAGAGACCCAGAGTGGCTCGAACTCACAATCCCAGGATTCCAAGCTCTATGCCCTAACCACTAGGCTGCCACTCCCCACTGATGGACTTTCTACTTATGTACGAACCTGAAAGCTGGGAAGCCATGAGTGAAGCTTGGCATTCCAGTCCAGGAGGTTCGGTGTCCAAATGGCTCAATCACCTCCTCAGTCTGAAGTCAAGTTCCCCAGAGACCCAACGATGTGACTCAGCACTAAAGCAAAGACACAGAACCTCCAGGACGGGAACATTTTAGAGCACTTCATGCTTCCTTCTGTTTGCAGCCTTATTTGAGGAGCAAATTTTCTTTTCCAGTAGGACTTGACAGCTTCCCACACCGCCAAAGGTAGGAAGAAGAAGAAATAAAGAAAAGATTTCAGCTTTCATAAACCTCCAATGC